TGACAGGTGTAGATCTCAGGGCTTCACATGTGCTAGGCAAACTCTAATGCTAAGTGACATGAACAGCCTTACAGCATTATTTTTATTGGAAAATGCATGTCTGATTTTCAGACAGCATAGGCCAGGAACTGATTAAAAATGAGAAAGTTGGGGGCTGACCTTGAGCAAATTTATTTCACCCTTATCCTGGAACTTCAGTTTTCTCCTAATAAAATGAGAGAGTTGAATTGGATCTCAAATTTTCAATATATCAAATTGATGTCCCTTTTAGTAATAAATGTTTTATAACTCTCTCCTTTTATTATTCCATTATAATAACTAATAGTAAACAGAAAATGAAAAACCCGTCTGCACATATTTTTAACAAACATCAATGTAACCTCTTAATGGAAAAATAAAGGGGAAATAACAGTAACTTTTAATAAAAGAATGTATACCTAATGCATTTCATCCACTTTTAGAGGCTTGCACACGCAAGCATGTAGTGTATGTTTTGCATGTTCAGGGCATATAGTGTATGCTTTGTAAGCAAGTGTATTTTCATTGTAAATGTGGTATTAGGCACTTAAGAATCTCTACAATGCTGGCTCAAACACCACTTCTTTTCAAATGATGCCATGATGTCCTGAAATGTCGGTTAATTTTGGCAACACTTCAAGACAAATATAGTATCATTTTCTCTCAGTTTACATAAGACAGGGTGCATTCTGGAGTTAGAATCAAAGGTTAGGTGATCATAAGCAGCTTTTCACCTACATGAGTTTTGGGTGCGACATTTGAAAGATGTGTGGGACACAGCACAAATCTCACTTCTTTGCAGGATATCTGGCTTTCTGAATACCACCAGAGGCCACATGTTTTCACTATGCCCTGTAGGGGTTGCTGATCTTCCTGTTGAGAACTGCCTGACCAAAGATCAAATTGCCTACCAACTTGAAGGAGTTTCTGCATAACTTTTATTGAATAAGACACATTGTGTGGGTACTGTGCTATGGATGAAGAAGTCTACCATTGTTGCTGTGCCGTTATTATTAACACTGAAGACCTATTTTCCACATAAGATTTTATGAGAATTGCTGTATCTGGGCACACAAAGTTGACTCAATAGAACTTAACATATTTGACAGAATGCATGAAATCCTGTGGGGGTACTATGGAGTTGTGCAGATAGGGGAGGGTCTCTAAATATTATTAAGATGTAGTGCATGAAATGCACAAAAATTCAGTTAAAAAATATGTATGTATTGAAAAAAAGATTTTAATACCCTGGGGTGTAAATATTAGAATAATTTCAAATGGATTGAAAGTAGGTTCTCTGTTACCTAGTTATTTTTCTGTATCTGTCGTTTTGTTCTCAAACGTGCCTTAGAGTTTTAAATAATTTATTTTCTTAGGGATGACTAATGCATGTTATGGCCTGTTATTTCCAGCAGGTGGCAGTGTTTGGTGCAAAAATGATGACAACTGCAGATGACTCTTGTTTTTGTTTTTCAGGTTTTTTTTTTTCTGTTTTTGAGATAGGGTGTCTGTCATGTAGCACAGACTGGCCTTGAACCCACTATGTAGCTGAGAATGATCTTGAATTCTTGGTTCTTTTCCTTCTATCCCCCGACTGCTGGGATTACAGTCATGTGGCATCATCCTGGCTTCTTTTTGTGTTTAAAATCCAAAGTTAATTGCGTGTATTAAAAGTTATCTCTGTTTTATTAAAAAAAACTTGTTAGAAGTTAAGTCATTTAAGTCAATGGGTACACTGATGAAAAGATACATGTGGTTCAAATTTTGACAAACCAAGTCACATTTTACTGTTGGAATAAAATTTTAATAGATGGCTAAGGCAACCTATATCATTAAATGAGTATTTCTTGATTTATCAGCTGTATAAATTCTGATTTATAGCTTAGAATAGTTCATTGTGAAACAGTTTCAGACTTACAGAAGAATGACTAGAATAGTACAAAGAACTCCTGTAGTTTATTTAACCAGATTCCCCAAGTGTTAGCATCTTACCTCATTTGCTCCATTGTTCATGATCGTGTGTATGTATCTATTACCATTTATCTTTCTCTGCATCTTTCTGAGAACTAGATGTTTAGCTGCCCTTAAACACTCCAAACTATTTCTCTAAAACAAGATCATTCCTCTTCATAAATAACATACAGCCCTCCAATCCAAGAATAACACTGTAAGATTACTATTCTATACACATTCGCCCATTCAGCTTTCACTAGCTGAACAAGAATATCACTCTTTCCCTTTCTGGATAAGAATCCTATCCAGGACTATGTTTTGCATTTAGTTTTTGGTCTCTTCCAATTGGATATAGTCCATAGTTTTCCATATCTTTCTAACATTTAGATGGCATTGAGCTTACATTTAGTAGGATGATTGTCAACCTGGTTTGCCTAATGTCTCTTCGTACTTACCCTCAGGTCATACATTATTGGCAGGAGTATCACAGAAGTTATAACTCATATCAGGGCACATGTTAATCTCTCTTGTCACTTGGCAAATTCACACACAATCTCTGTGTGTGACCAGTTGTGGAACACTGTAACTACCTCTGTCTCTTGAAAAAGAAGTTTCTTTGATGGATGATGACTGGGTGTAACCCGGAAGTTCCTACGAAAAGCTGGAGTTGATCCAGGCACTAGCTAGCTGGGAGACTCAGCACTGGGAAAAAGGGGTGGAGCTGCCACCATATTGAGTGGGGAACAGCAAGCAGGGCAAGACAGGCCTCAGGAACCCCATGGGGTAAGACGGCCTATCGCAGACCCCAGGAGTGAGTGGCTGTGAGCATAAAGCTGGCTGCAAGAGAAAAGCTGGTGGAGACTGTGGGCCGGAAGTGGATGGCCCATGCCTCAAATGTGGGGAAGAAAAGCTTATGTGAATC